ATACCTACCATATGATCTAGTCATTCCATCCTAGGTATTTTCCTAAGACAAAGAAAATACATGTACTCATATTTAAATGGTCACTGCAGCTTTATTTATAATAAACAGAAACCAGACATAGCTCAAATGTCTTAACAAGTGGTAAATGAATAAAAACAATTGAAGTACATTTCTTCAATGTGTTAATATTCAAGAATAAAAATGATGAGCTATTTATTTATGTAAGATATGAATCCCAAAGTAACTACATCAAATGCAAGAGACTAAACTTTAAAAGGGTATATATTATATAGCTCTATTTAAATAGAACTCCAGAAAATGTGAACTAAATTTGGAAGAAAGTAGTTCAGCAGTGATCTAGGGGAAGGAGAAATTAGAGAGGATATGAAGTGATGAACATAGTAAGCCTTTTCTGTGCACTGGCCTCACAACTGTATGCATCTACCTAAACACACAATACAATAAACTTTAAATGTTGACAATTTATGTCAATTACACCTCAGTAACTCACATGAAAAAGCTAAGATCAAGTTATGGCAGCAGCACAGGAGATGTACATAAGAGGAAGAATTGTAGGCTTGGTGGCAGAGAGGGTTGCACAGTTTCCCTATTATATAGGGATGAAGTAAGACTGTTTATCTTCTAGTGTATATTTAAAATAAAACACAAAATGACTATGTTAAATATTAGATCACAACATAACTGATATTTTTGTTCTGTTTTGTTTTTGTTTTTGGAGACAGGGTTTCTCTGTGTAGTTTTGGAGCCTATCCTGGCACTTGCTCTAGAGACCAGGCTGGCCTCCAACTCACAGAGATCCGCCTGCTTCTTCCTCCCGAGTGCTGGGATTAAAGGCGTACGCCACCGACGCCTGGCTCATAACTGACAATTTTGGTGCAATCATCAGAAATAAAAATTATCTAGGGGTTTCAGAGAATAGTTTAGTGGTAATAAGCCTGGCATGTGTGAGGACCTGGATTTGAGCTCTAGAACTTGAAAAACAGCACAGTTGTATATAGAGGAGTAGTTGCAAGCACCAGATGCCACATGCTTGTAATCTCAGGATTTGGAAGACAGAAAAGCAGGAGGATTAAAAGTTCAAAGTCAGCCTTGGCCACTTGACGTGCAGACTAAAGAAAGGAAAGGAAGGAGGGAATAAATGAATTTTTTTCTCTCAAAATGTAGCAACAGCTAATACAAAGGGAAGAGGAAGAAGAAGCTGCAGAAGCAGCAATAAAGTGCAGATGACCTGGGAATTCCCCAGCTTTGTAATTGATGTCAGTCAAAAGTAAGAGCAGACTTGTTAGGAACCATGATCTTAATTTGTGATATCTGAAATAGCTCCAGGTAGCTGGTGAAAGAATTATATTACATTATTCCACTTAACCTCTTTGCCTCATTTTCCACATCTGAAAATAGAGATAACACATAACCAGAGTAACTATACATCATAAGGTTACTGTGAGAAATGAATGAACATAAGAAAAATACTTAGAATAGTATTTAGCATGTATGAAGTACTATAAAAGTATCAGTAGTTTCTGACTTGCTGTTGTTTTTAATTATTAAAACCAGAGCTGGTTAATGTAAGAGTAGCAAACTTTGCTGAGATCTAAATAACACAGGGAAAAAAGAAAAGAAAAGAAAAACAAACACTGGTTTTCACCATTAGTCAGAGAATGTTAACAACAATAATCATATAAAAAGAATGACATTAGCCTGCTGATTTTCTCAACACAAATGACAAAAGCTGATATCTACACCAGCTAGCTACACTCAGGCCAGCCAGTTTGAACTAGTGCCAGAATACTACATGCTTTTTGTAGCTCTGGAAACTGTCTCTCTAGAAAGAATGGGGTCTTTTTTTCTGAATAATGAAGCAAATTATTAGACACAAGAAGGTTCTTACTCTTAGTCTATCAAACCACTTGGTAAACTGGTCCTTAAAAGGTACATGTAAATGACTTCTCAGCAGTGAGGTGCTCTGCTATACCTTACAATGCTATAGTACTAAGGGTAAATGAGTCCCAGCCCCTTCTAAAAAACTTACTTCATTGTCTTCCATGTTCCTGTCATTTGAAATACACTGGAAGTGTTCCAAATAGTTGCTAAGTCCAGAAATAAAGTTATTACCAGAAAACTGTGGGGCTGTTTCTAGTATTGTGATTCAAGCCTCTATTTTTGCCTTCCCTTGGTCACTTTCTTTCTCAGTTACTTTGCTTTGAGCTTGTAGAAAAGGCCAAGAATGTGTTCCTTGCCTCTTGCATTCTGAGTTTGTGCTTATAAAACCTACTCTTAAAAACCAGGCTCCTTATTATCATCATGTTATTAGAGAAGAAAATCAAAACTAAACAGAATTAATGGAAGACATTTTCCTGGCAATGCTAATATAAAAGCTCATGTCATTGCTTCAAAGCTAATCAGCAGACAGCCTGAGTTGCTCAGGAGCTATAAAGACACCTGGGGGGAGGGGGGCTTAGCTTCTAAAGATTTCTAGAAGGGTAGCAGCAATGCCCTTTTCACCCCACCACAGAATTAGGATTAGACTCAATTTCCTAATGCACATCTAATGAATCTAATGCTGTTTTATACACACACACACACACACACACACACACACATTCCTTCTCATATCTAAAACTCTACAGTCCTAGGTAAGAATCTGAATAAAAATAAAAACTGCCTCATTCTACTAAAAGTAGTATTTTCTGCCATCAGAAGGCAAGGAAATGCATTGTTCTATAAGGACCAGAAGATCTACATCTAGTCCTGACTCTCCTAAAAGCATGACAGTGAACACACAATTTTATAAGCCTGGTTCTAAGTTTCCTCAACTAAAAACCAGGAAAATTACAAATGGTGGCCTATAGTCCCAGCTGTTTAAGAGGCTAAGAAAGGAGGATCCAAGAGTCTGAGGCCAGCATGGGCAAGCAACACAGTCTCAAAATTCTGAACCCTTGGTCAATCAACTTTAACCTTTTTTTTTTCTTTTTTTAAAGATTTATTTATTTTATGTGTATGAGTGTTCCATCTGCATGTTTTCCTGCACACCAGAAGAGGGCATCAGATCCCATTATAGATGGTTGTGAGACACCATGAGGGTGCTGGGAGTTGAACTTGGGACCTCTGGAAAACAGCCAGTGCTCTTAACTGCTGAGTCATCTCTCCAGCCCACGTTTACTCTTTTTTTTTTTTTTTAACAACTTGTACTAGTCAGTTCTTTCTCTCTCTCTTTCTTTCTTTCTTTCTTTCTTTCTTTCTCTTTTTTGTCAACTTGACACAAGCTAAGATTGTCTTGGGAGAGGGAATCTCAATCAAGAAAATGTCTTCAGAAGATCAGCCTATAGGTAAGTTTATGAGGCATTTTTTAATTAATGACTGATATGGGAGAGCACAGGCCCATAGTGGTGCTGCCACCCCAGGGCAGGTGGTCCTGACTGGTATAAGAAAGCAGGCTGAACGAGCCATAAAGGACAAGCCAGTAAGAAGCATTTCTTTATGGTCTCTGCTTCAATTCCTGACTCAATGTTCCTGACTTCAGTTTCTCCTGACGATGGACTGGAAGTTATAAGCCAAACAAGCCCTTTCCTCCCTAAGTTTTGGCCACAGCAAAAGAAAAGTAAATTAGGACACATCTGTTCTATAAGACCTTGGGAAAAGACTGTTTCCAATCTTTTTTATCTATCCTCTACCTATCTATCTGTCTGTCTATCTATCTATCCATCCATCCATCTATGTATCCATGTATGTATGTATGTATGTATGTATGTATGTATGTATGTATGTATCTATCTATCTACCTACCTGTCTGTCTTTCTATCTATCTATCTATCTATCTATCTATCTATCTATCTATCTTAATGACTGAGTTTCATAGATCCAAGGCTGCCTTTGAACTTAGTGGGGATGATCTTAAACTTCTGACCTTGCTTCCACTTCCCAAGAACTAAGATTATACATGTGAACCACCACAGCTGGTTTGGGAAAGCAGGGTTGGGAATCCACTTCCCAAGAACTAAGATTATACATGTGAACCACCACAGCTGGTTTATTCAGGGTTGGGATGCAAATTTGGGGCTTTATGCATGTGAAGTAAGCCCTCTCCATCTGAACTTGATGACAAGTCACTGCTTCCAATCTAGATCCTAGATCCAAGGACACTAGCCACAGAAATAAACGGTGAGGAAGCTAAAGACATGTTATTTCTTTCCTGTCAAGTCTCACAAAACTAAACATACTCTTTTACTTAGGAGCCTGAATAAAATGTTCCAAAGGGGGAAAAACAAGGTAGTCATGGTTTAGTAGCTTTATTATTAGAAATATCTAAAGTTTTCACTGATAAATTCAACATGAGTCAATAACGTGACCACTGAGGGCACTAGCATTTAGTCAGGCAGTACTAGCACATATCCAGGATTCAGAGCTCAGAAGTTAGCAATGCAATTCATCTCTGTATGAATCAAAGCACAATTGGGAGTCTTTTACAATTCAAGGATCTAACAAAGATATAAAAATATTTACAAAATGAAAATCTAGATCAGAAAGACTGAAAACTGTTTTATGCAAAGATGAAGGACTATTCAAGTTTTTTTGGGGGGAGTTCAGGAATGGACCCATCTTTACTGCCACTCAACTTTTGAATCATCTGGACTCAGAAGAGATGGGACTGGGCAAGGAATACAGAACAGCCTCCTAGAGAACAGCAAGCTCCTTATCTCTGGAGATGGCATGATAAGCTAGTAGATGTCTATGGGGGATAATGTGAGGACAGAAGTTGAGTTAGGCTGGAATTCAAGACATCCTGATGAAAGACAACTTCAAATCCCTTTCCCAGCATAATGACCATAACTCAGTCTTATTACATGACTGTATATAGAATGATCTCAGTAATTCACATCTTGTTAAGCATTTTTGTTCATGTCCTTTTAAGGTCAGGTATCTATTCATCTCCTCTCTTCTCTAAACCTCTGACAACCAGGACAGACGAGGGTGCCCATTACCTTCTGATGACTTCCATGCCTTCCACAGATCCTCCACGCTGATAAGCTTATCCTCGCCATGGAAGGTGCTGTGCTTCACTGTCGGATCATGGTAATTGAGGTCTTCCCTTAGGAACTGCAAGGGAAAAGCATGTAAGTCACAGAAGATACTTGTGAGCCCACCAAGACCTCCACATAAGTCATCTCTCTCCAGCTATACACATGCATTACTTACAAACCCCACTCCTGTATCTTTCTTTTTTAATCTTTCTTTTTAGTTATTCTTTGTGTCTTTTACATCATGCCTCCTGACCTCACCCCATTTCCCTCCCCTAAAAATAAAATAAAATTTAAGGGGAAAAAAAGGAAGAAAGAAAAAAATCTTATCATGGAGTCATACAGTAAACCCCTTTACCCATACATTTTTACATGTAGGCATTGTGTGATTGTCTCCATTTCGAAAGAGAACATTTTTTCGATTTGTTATATGTTTCACACGAAAAAATAGGTTAGAATTCTTCCCTCATACTGTTTTTCTTTTTAATTATAGAATGGCAGTGAATTCAACAAGCTATAAGAGGGGACAAAGAAGAGTTAACATTCAAAAAATTTTAGTGTTTGTGCATCCATGTGCACACATGTACATATGGGTGAAGCACTAATCTAATTAATCTTAATAAAACCTGCAGTAGCCACCAGTGACTTCTTACTGCTCTGAATTCTCCTACCAAAAGGGGTTCAGATCCTGTCTCTGGCCTGCCTTATTACTTCCTCTCTCTACCACCCAAGTGCTGGGATTAAAGGTGGGTGCCAGCACTCGCTGGCTTCTATGATTAACTAGTGGCTAGCTCTGCCCTCTGATCTCCAGGCAAGCTTTATTTGTCAGAACACAAAGTATCACAACATATGGGTACATGTGTTTACAGAAGTCGAGGGTCAACATTCACCTTACCTTTGGAGACAGGGTCTCTCACTGAACCTGGAAATCATCAATTTGGCTAGGCTGACTGGCTAGTAAGTCCCAGGTATCCTATTTGCCCACCCACACCAGCCCTGAAGGTAGAGATATATGCTGCAGTGCTCAACTTTTATATGGATGCTCGGCATCAAAATTCAGGGCCTCACACTTGTATGGCAGGCACTTTACCAACTAAGCTATGTTCTTAGTAGCTCCAGTTCCTTTGTTTGTTTTTGGACAAAGTCTCAAGTATCCCAGGCTAATATGCTATATAGTTGATGACTTTAAACTCTTTTTGAAAAATGTTTGCATTTATTTTAAATTATTCAAGAGGAGTAAGGGAGGAAAGGAGAAAGTATTAGAAATAAAGAGGAAAAGAAAACCACCTCAAAAAAAAAAAATGCTTGGACAGGTGGGAGGTAGAGGCAGTTGGATCTCAGATCTCTAAGAAGCCAGCCTGGTCTACAGAGTGAATTCCAGGACAGCCAGGGCTACAAAGTGAAGCCCTAACTCAAAAAAAGAAAAAAAGAAAAGAAAAGGGGCACTGAGTACAGATTTCTGTGAGTTGGAGGGTAGCCTGATCTATACAGAGAGTTTTAGGCCATCTAGCCCTTGACAATATATCTTTTTAAAAAAAAAAAAAAAAAAAAAAAAAAAAAAAAAAAAACTCTATTTACTTAAATAGTAAATGAGAATGGGACCTGGCATAGTGGCGCATGCTGTTATCCCAGCACTTGGGAGGCAGAGGCATGTGGATCCTGAGTTCCTTTAAAAAAAAAAAAAAAAACCTCTATTTACTTAAATAGTAAAGGAGAATGGGACCTGGCATAGTGGCGCATGCTGCTATCCCAGCACTTGGGAGGCAGAGGCATGTGGATCCTGAGTTCAAGACCAACTTGGTCTACAGAGCGAGTTCCAGGATGGCCAGGGTTACACAGAGAATCCCTGTATTGAAAAACAATGAGAAACCAGAGGCATTCGCACCTGGAGCTGGACAACTCAGGTCCTCTGGAAGAGCAATATATGCCTTTAACTACCGCCTGAAATATAGCAGGTAATGAAGATTTCTTTCTTCATGTTTTACTTAAAATTGAGGAAAATAGCAATTGCCCATATCTAAGTGGAAAGGGAACATGGAGGCTGGAGAGTTGTTCTTAAGGAGTTAATGAAGGGCTCAAGCCTCATCCTCCTGGCTCCACTCCTAGGTTCACATGCATGTGCAACAAGATGGCAGGGCCCCTTCTGAAGAGCATGTGTTCCTGCCACTCACATTCTATGCAGTATTTCACACAGTTCCCATTGCTCAGGTGTGAGACTCACAGCCCCACAGAGGCATGGTGTACACAAAAGCACCCCTAAGCTTTAAAATATAACTCAAAAGTAGGGAAATACAGAAAACAGAAACATCTTGACCAATGATGACCTTTTATGCTCCCACAGCTCTAGTGTGTATTCCTATCTGAGTTGGTATATATCTAGCTTCCCTTCAAAACCCTGGCAGAAGCTACCAGTTACCCAACTATAAACAGAAATGTACAAGAATTGTTTTCTTTAGTCAGGCGTAGTAATGAATACCTGTAATCCCAGTACTTGGGAAGTAGAAGGAGGAGGATCAGATATGCAAGGCTGTCCTTGGCTACATTATATATACCTGCCTAGCCTAGAACTGGAACTCAATATGTAGACAAGGCTGCTCTCAAACTTGTAGTAATGTTACTGCCTTTGCCTCTTAGATGCTAGGATTGCAAGCATATACTACAATATTAAGATAATAATGTTATATTAGACTAGAACTCCAATTCCCACTATATTTTAGATAAGCATTAACCATATTTTACTCTAAATATTGTCATATATCCAGCAAATAGCTGGTCTTAATTAGAACAATTTTTAAAAGCAGTAACAAAAAATCAGGTTGTTTTTTGGCTCTCAAACAAGGATTTACTGTTTCAAGCTCAGAACAAGAATCTCCTCTCTCAAGAAGGTCCAAGGAGGTGCCCTACAAGTTTTGTCTTACCATGGGGAATGTAGCATTGGCTAGAATGACAACTCAGTAGCTCGCCTAAGTGCCAAAGCACCAGCTGTCACTAGGTATATTTAGCTCTATGAGCTCAGAAAAGTGCTCTTCCATGAGGTAGCACAAAGCTGATCCCAAGCAGTAGTGAAATTCTGTGGGTGGTAGCAGAGAAGAAGGAAAACACAGCTCTAGATTCCCTTGGCACAGTACCAGCTAGCCTCCTCAGGGATAGGACTCACTTAAAGCCAGAAGAGCAGCAGGTCTTCAGGTGCAGGGATCTGAGCAGCTCTCCAGGGGCACCACTTAGTACCACTGCCTCCTTCCTCTGCTACTCAACCTTGATCCTCACTGCATGTCTGCTATTTCACAAACATAGCACCTCTACAGCCTCCTCCCACAAAACCCACCCTTCTCAGCTCTTCTTTGTATCTTAAATATCTAGCAATGATTCACTTTTTGTTTTTGTTATTTGTATTGTGAGGTTACCCTTGAACTTCTGATTCTCTTGCCTCCACCTCAAAGTGTTGAGATTACAGGCATGCACCACCATGCCTAGTTTGTTGTTTGTTTTTCAATGCAGGGATTTGGTATGCAGTGCAGGCTAGCCACAAACATGTGATCCTACTGTTTCAGCATTCTCAGTACTGGAATTACAAAAGTGCCACCACATTGAGCTTAAGGACACTCATTTTAGCTGTCAAACCTCCAGGTACCATTTACACCAAGTGCTAGGACAGGAATGTTTCAGAGACAAAATAACTGTCCTCAGTGACATTCACCAGCTATTGCTAAAAGATTATGAATGGACAGTCGTTTTTGTTTGTTTGTTTTTCTTTTTCCTTTTGGTTTTTCAAGACAGGGTTTCTCTGTGTAGCAGTCCTGGCTGTCCTGGAACTCAATTTGGAACTCTCTGTGGCCTCTACCTACTGAGTGCTGGGATTAAAGGCATATGCCACCACTGCCCAGCAAGAACAGTTATTTCTCACTTATCTTTATACATCTAGGTCTTCTGCCAATTTAAATATAATGAAAATATAATGAAAAAAGGTACAGTGGTGCACAAATGTAATCTCAATACTTGCTGGGAGGCCCTACAGGTCAAAAGTTGCAATCTACCACAACTTAGCAGCTCCCCCTGGGCTCTGCACAATATGAAGGACTTCCCTCTCCCACCCCAGTGGAGGCTTCCTGCTCTCTACCTATCCTTATCTAGAGATGTCTCTAGCTAGATGCCTGATTTATCTCAAGGATGACCCTTGACACAGTTCTCTGCAAAACACTCTTCCCCTGCTGCCCACATGGCAACTAAGTAACATACTCTAGCTATTTTCATAGGGCCATGCTGCTACTAATCCAGCTATATGATAGAAGTGTGCCACCTAATGCAAATGAGGGTTTGCCTCAGCTATTACCCAGATCCTATATATTCCCTATGCTCTGAAATAAAGTTGAGCAGTCTCACTGAAGCTGTCTCCTGGGAGGTTATTTCCACTGTGGTCACAGGCTATCCAAGGCTCTCTGTTGTTGCTTCTGCCCCTTAGTTCTCATGGACTGGTGGTCAATGGACCATGAGGAAAAAGGGTGCACCACAGTGGTGCACAAATACAATTTCAATACTTGGGTTATTAGGATCAGCAGTCAAGGTCATCCTGGGCTACATAAGACCCTGTCTCAAAACAAAACAAAAACTACTAGAATGACTGTTATGAAATACAAATCCAACTGAACCAATTCCTCCACTTAAAATCCCATGGCTCCTCATTACTTACAAGATAAAACCCTGGTTTCATAGTCTGGCACTGACATTCCTTCATACTCTCCCTCCCTGCCAGACCAGGGGTCATGACATTACAACTATAATAAGCCATATTCAGTTAATAATCTCTTTATTTACATATTTTTTCATTTGAGGTTTGTTTTTGTTTTAGTATGTATCCTAGGCTGGCCTCAAATGTTATATAGCTAAGGATGATCTTGAATTTCTGATCCTCCTGATTCTACCTCCAGAGTGTTGGGATCACAAGCATTTACCATCACCATGTCCAGTACATGTGATACTGGGATCAAACCCAGGGCTTTGTGCATGTTGGGCCAGCATGCCTCTAACAGCTGAGCCACATTCCCAGCCCCACAATGTAAAGCTTTACCAGAATACAGTCAG